CATTGTCCATAGACCGAGACCTGAGCGTTAACGGACGTGACAGTCCATGCAAGAGCAGCCAAAGATGTGACGAAGTACTTCATTTTAACTGAGGATTGTCGCTTGACGAGGGTAGATGACCAGAGGAGGATGTGGATAACCGCGGGTTTCCCCTGCCCATTTTATAGAGCAGCGCCATTTTCCTGTAGATTGCCACAGACGCCAAATGTCAAGACCAAATTCATCAGCAAGACTGTGCCGCTTGCCAAGACAATCCATCAACGATATGCACCGATGCCAAGACAGACCCACAAACGAGAACCGCGAATGAGAGGCAAAGATCACGGGATCCGAATTCTCGGTTACAATATCCAAAGTGTCCCCGGTGCCAACAGAAGGATAAACGTCAATATCCTGACATTTCGCTTCTTAGAAGGGCCGATGAAAATTCGTTGTACAGCGCAATCGTCGGGCAACTATCGGCAGGTGGTGATGGTTCCGTGTGAAGTTGGCGAATCCGCGTGAAGGCATCCATCTGCCAGAACCATAATACCTGATTGCATGACACATACCTCTTCACGATGACATTCGCTCATGAAGCCATGCTAATTGACCGTCGTGAATCGTCGCTACATCGGTGCATCATACCTTGCAGAAAAACACAGTGCACTTTGGGACGACAATGACTTGTTTCCTTGCTCCTGCCTGAGAAAACTTTGCATATTTACAAGGCAGGGTCATAGCGCCAACTTGAAGGGTATCAGGGTAAATGGCGCATACAGCTCGGTATCTGACTACTTCGCCGATGTCAAAACTTTAAGTATACTGGGAGCAACATTTCCGATAGGCTTTTAAAATTACAGCTGTATTCGCTTCAATGCGCCCTTACCGAAGTTCATCCATTTCCAATCCTTGGCATAGTTTGTGAACTGTCTTTGGGTACAGGGAATCCTGACCATAGTTCTCCTGCTGCTTGGCGGGAATACATGTCGAGACGCTAGATCATCCCCAAAGTTGGCATAACCTATCAATCAACCGGTCTCGGAAACAATGACTGCCAGTTCATCCGACTCGGATTGCCAGAACCCTGCATGGCGTCAGCCGGTCACTCCTCGCGGAAGGACCTGGTATACCTTGCAACACCGGTTCACCTTCCCGAAGAGAAAAATCTTCCCACTGGGAGTTCTTCGTCCAGATGTGAAGCAGCGTCTCTCCTTGATGCATCGGCGCTTGACCCCGTCTTTTGAGGGCTCGCTACGAACAATGGGGCCGTCTTGTGAGCCAATCCAGACGGGCATCTGTGGAGACAGGCACTCACTTAATTATTATCGGATATTGTACGATAGATTGGGGAACAAATGTCACTCGAAGGTCTGTCATCTGCCAGACGAGGGTCAACGCGCATGCCTGGGCAGAGCATCGGATTAAAATTGACGCATTCGACGCATCCGCCGTTGGGCTATGTTCGCTGTGAGGGGCTCTCATGGTCACTGACAGCGGAGCAATTCGGCTGGCCCTACCTGAGTCGGGAACGCTCTGCCATTCTCATCAATAAGTTCCCGATGTCTGCCCTCTCCAGGGTCTCGTTAGGAAGTTGATGGCATTATTTCTGAGAAGGTCGCATACCACGTGCGAATGTTTCGGGATTCTACATCCAAGGAGCACACTTAAGGACCACCTTATTTTGGTTGGGACCTTCATAATCAGTAACATTGATAGGTGAGAGGCAGCATTTAAACGTGATCTTGATACTTATTTGATATGCTATCCTCAATTAACACTGTTGGTGAAGTGGTTATCATGCTTGCCTTCCATTTCTGACCATCTGACTGGTTAGCGGGGCAGCAAGCGGGCGGGGTTCGATTCCCCGACAGTGTATACCTTTTGCACTCTTTGAGACTCTGGCATCCAAAGCGATCGGGGATGATTCCGGTCTTGTGTAGTAAAGGGGTTTTGTGGGTGAGAAATGTGCACGGCCGGATGTTAGCTTCCCAAGAGATGGGAACAGCCGTTCTGTTGTCAATCTGTCAACTGTCACGGGCAGTACCTGACAACCCATAGCCACCACCTCGAGCTCTTGAAGCTTTGTAAGAAAGAGATATCGATGGCATGTCCCCGATTGCTCCGTATATGTTGGCAGCTACAGCGCGCGGGTCTCGACGACGGCGGAGCATGCCAGTTAACCGATCTATGGCCTCGTGACTGACGTCAGCCCCGGAGACCATCAAGATTTCGAGCGTAGTGAGATTTGGGGCGAGTACACTCACACGGGTGAAGTAGCAAGATAAGGTACGTGGTGCCGCCAGAACCTCCACGGAAAACTGGCGTAACGGTGTACTCATCAGGGCTAATGCAAGTTCGGAGTCCTTTTCACGCCAACGGAGAACGCGGATATTGTGAGAGAGTGGGAGGGGTTTGGGGTACTGTCGAATCTTGAGACATTGCAGTTGAGGTACACCATTCTAACCCGCGGAGCGAGAGCACGGAATCGTTCACAATGGGCCTCCTTTAGAGGTCTCTGAAATCGCTGTTTACAATAGCTAAGTTTCGAATCTCGATAAAGATAAGTGCAGAAGCGCTGTTGCATGTTGCGTCTTGGATTCTCGTGTATGAGATGTCATTCTGAAGCTCAAGCGTGTTAGATGAGAAACCTGAGGACACAACAGCTCGTGTGAGGCAGATATAAGACAAGTGACATTAAGTTGCAATATTCAAATTGAATAGATATAGATTAGTCCTGCAAGATATCAAGATATACCGTCCATGAACCTCCGGAGCCCAGGGACATCACCCACCCAAGTCCAAATCACCCAGAGCAACGACTGAAGAAGGCGACGAAGCTGTCAATGGATCTGACAGAGGCTCGAGCTCCGGCGATTCGGGCTCGGACTCCGGCACTGTTTCCGCCGACAATACTCCACCAGCCACACTACTCATTCTCCTCCCTCTTATCAAGCTTCCAGTCTCCGCCACCCTCACACCACTCCCACTCATGCGTCGACTATGTGCTTGTCCGAAGGAGTTGCGTCGGCTGTACACCGGGGATCCTAGTGAAGATGATAAGGACGGTGGCGGCACAGATGGGTACGAAAGCTGATTGACGGCGACAAACGTCGAGGTCGATGGATCAAGCTGAAGGATCGGAGAGGTCGAAGAAGGCGGGGTCGTCATCTCGGTGAGATAAGAAGAGGATTCATGCTCGTTCGGGTTTGAAAGGGAGAGTCCGCCCGAATTCGGCTGATAGCTTGAGCTACTACTGCTCGAGGTCGTCGCTCCGACATGTCCATTGATGCGCATAGAGGGGGTGGGTACAACAGGGGAGAACGAAAATGGTAATGCCGGGGAAAGTGAAGATGTGGGTGAAGGTGACGTGGTATTTGGCGTGGTCGACGAGGATATCGGTTTGGGAGCGCGATGTGTCTGAGACGACGGGATGCGAGTCATGCTGATAGGAATAGGCAGACCACCGAGCTGCGGCCGTTGCGATGTAGTTGATAGGACATGGGTAGTGAAGTTTGGAGAACGCTCGAGGGAGGATGCGCGTCGAACTGAGGAGATGGACGATCGTAGATGTGTTGGTTGGGAGTGTCCGTCCACAGGCGAAGATGCGGACAGTCCGATCAAGTTGTCAATCGGAAGACCTAACTAGAATAAAGTGCGGTCTTTGAATTCAAGGACAACGATCGGAGAATCACCGAAGGCCACTCACTCGTCTTCTAAGCTCGATGAGTTCCCTTCGATATACATCATTCAGCATAGAGAGCTCGACGTAACTTCGTTCCGTATCCGCTCTGAGCAAGGAGTCCGATGGATAGATGATGAGCACTAGTGAGGCCGAGCTTTCATTCCAGACTGACACTCACAACCGATTCCTCAACGCCTCGTTCTCTCGAGTCATCGCTTCCAGCATGACGGCTTGCGGAGGTATCGCGAATGATATGCCATTCCTGTTCCCGCTTCCGCTTCCGTTGGCATTAACATTGCTGTGCGTATTGGCGCCTCCATTGAGGTGGGCTCCACCACCTTGCTGCTGCTGAGCTACCGCGGCCCGCAAGGACGAGATCTCTCTTGAAAGCCGATTGACGTGTGATTCGTTCTCCGCCTCGAGTATGTTCTCCAATTCCACCTTCTCCTCCTTCAACTTCAAACGACCATCAATCACGATATAAGCGAGCATCTAATCAATCGGTTCTAGCAGACACGTACACGTTCGAGCTTCCTTGACAGCGAGTTCGTGATCCTCTCTTCCTCAGCTTCAAAGAGATACACAAGATCCTCTTCGCGCTTGCGGCTGCTGGATGAAGGGAAAGGTTGCGGTATGACCCTGCTTGAGCTGGCCACCGGAGAGTCCATTGATAAGTGTAACTGGCGAGGATGTAGGTATGCCAGATAGAGCAGATATCTATCTGCACGTTCTCAGTAACCAAGCTCTCTGTATCCGTAGACGTTTCCAGTGCAAAGGGGTTGGAGGACGGGATACCGGTCGCTTTTGAAAGCCGATCATCAAACTCTACACTTCTACATATGGCTATACTACATTATATACGTGCGCACCACGCTGTTAGGTCAGATGTTCTCGCCTCCTCTTCATCGGAGGGACGGTATGAATGGGGAGTGTCATGTTTTGGTACCAAAAAGCCACTCTAGCTCAACCCGTCCCCAGACTCGAGCTCACGCTCGGAACGACTCAGATCCTCAGACCCAGATCCCCAGATTTGAGAGATCTTCAGGCTCATATCCGACCCTCGACCCGGTCCTGGATAAGCCTCGCGATCGATGGTCCGTGTGCCGGTATCTGATCTCCTTGGAATCCTTCTGGGTAATCCACTTTAGGAGCATTGGGATGTGTGTACGCTCTGGAGAAGAGAGAAGACAAGAGGGCATATAATGTGAATTTGTGTAAATTGAAAAAGCATAGTATGGACTCACGTGTCGTTCCAGATAGCAAAGTGCCGTATCCCCAGCGTACGCGCCGTCCATTCATAATCTGTGGCAAAACCTCCAGGTACAAAGATCTCGATGACGGTGCTGAGCGGGGTGGTAGGCATCCAGACGAGGTGGGTCAGACCATTCCCATGAACACCGAGCGTGATCTACACGAGGGAGAGAGCAACAAGAGACGTGAGCAAGAGCACACGACCATCACATTGGTGAATGCATACTGTGGTTTTTGCCGCCACTTGGACCTGCTCTTCGCGGCTCAGCTTCTCAGCGTGAACAATATTCAGCTCCCATCCCTTTGTAGCACACAGCTCTGTGAGAGCTTGCACGAGATTCTGCAGAGCAGATAGACGGGTTAGTAAGAGCAGTGGCTTGGACGCGGCCAAAACGGGCGCCCCGCCTACCCGGTGGTCCTCTGCAATCAAACTTCGCCTCGGACCTGTCCGGACAATATAACTGATCACGACTGGCATCTTCTGCGACGCCGTGGTGACCGCGCTATTGTCGGCGACGGGGTCTACGCCTTCAGTCCACATTCCATCCCACATGACAGGAAGATCGGCCACGGCTTTATCGACGCCAGCAAATCGCAAGACGCTTCGACGCACTGGCTCCCACCACCACCGGCTGTTGATGCTTTTCACGACCTCCCATGCTTCCGAGGCGATACGATTTGTCTTTCCGGGGCAGATGGAACCCCGCATTGAAGATGACCTGTCGGCCAAAACGAGATTGGTGAACCGGAATGCTTTGGATGGAGTCGAAGCAGAGTTAGAGGAAGTCATCGAAGTACGGCCGTCCCAGTCTTCGGCCGATTCTGTGCCTATAGGAGCCCATTGGCGTGAGTGCTTTCTGATTGTAGAGACGGTACCAAAAACTTACTCAGAGAAGGGAAAACGCCGTGCAGCACCCAATGATTGAACTTGGAGTAGTCCCTCCACTCTGTAGAGATGAAAAATGCGTCATTCAGTATATGCCTTGAAGAACGAGAGATGCCTATGAGACGCACCATGATCTTGATGGTGTGCAAAGAGGATTCGAGCAGGTGCTGGAAGCTCAGTGTTGCCGCGTACATCAATCTTGGGATCCATGGAGGAGTATGTCATCCACAGGCCAAAGAAAGTCTCAGCAACAAAGTGGTAGTAATGGTTGAGATGTTGTGGGGCATCGTTGATCATGAACTGTCAAAGCACGCAAAGTGAGCTCCCTGATAAGTTCTAGCCATCAATTGGCACGTACTGTCCAGTCCTCGACGTCCCATATCCTGTCACCCCAACGCGTTTCTGCTTCGGCTGGCGTAATGAACGATATCGTTTGTGACGTTGGCTCCCGCATCCGGTCACTTTCCTCTCCGTGCCCTAGCGGCAGTGCCACATTTATGATGAAGACCGGCTTCGGCCACTCCGAGGGATCGTTTGTGATGATATACAAAGTCCCGTTTGACATGTACACGTTTTCCATTATCGACCATCCCGGAGCGTTTCGGATGAGTTTGGTAGGTGGCCGTGGATCAACGGGAAGTGGTTGAGAGAATGGACGCCTGTTATTGGATTGGGGCGTTCCTTGGCTGGAAGGAGGGGCTTGCACCGCTGGCACTGGGTGAGTTTGTTCATTTGGTAGATTTTTGTCATCGATACCCCCTTGCTGCAATCCTAACGGCCGCAGTGCACGATGATGATCAGGCCTGTGATCGTACTGTGCATTTGGGCGTGATATAGCGGATCCGGGAACATAGTTCGGTTGTCCGACGTGACCTTGCTCGGATAGAGCGTTTGACGCGTATTGCAACACCAGGATGCGATAAGCGGTCGTGAGAAGCGCGGCGAGGACGAGCAGCAAAACTACATTGCCCCAAGGAATCTGGCGTCGGGAAGTCATGAATGAGAGGGAGGAAAGATTAATAGAAAAAGAGTGTTAAGATGATAGCAAAAGCAAAG